CGACTTGGATCTTGTAGAGTGGCGATCACAGCTCGATTTCATTCTCACCCACTTCGAGCACGCTTTCGACGGCAAGGTTGAGCAATCTTTCTGGAACGACATTTTCTTGGAACATGGCGCCAACGGCTCCGGAGGCGTTACAAAGGTGTCGGGGTGGATCGGCACCTTTTTTCTGTACACCACGAAGAAGTTAAACTCGGGTGCTCTAGGAGAGCCCAGCGAAACCGAGAACACGTCTGGCTTTTATCAGAATTCCCCAGTGAAAAGAGCCTCAGATAGCCGGTATCGTCAAGTCATCAATCCTGAAGATTTTCCGATGGGATTGAGCGAGACGCCGTTCAAGTGGCAGTACTTCAATAAAGAGATTGAAATGTTGCTGCGAGGAGGGCTAATCGGCGTAATCCACAACCATGAAACACATGCCGTGGCTCCCCACGTGGGCTGGCTGGTCACAGAGGCCAAAGAGAAGGTACCTCATACGGGAAATTTTCCATTTTCCCCTCCAAGTTATCCCCCAGAGGTCACAGAGGAGGTACCTCGTGACGAAACTGGGAATTCTGGTTTTAGAAATTGGCTGCGATCCAAATTCAGAACTTCCAAAGGGTTGCATGCTTCCGATCGGAAAGCAGAACGTGAATCTGGACAACGGAACCGACATGGGTAATGGATTCAGCTTTCAGATTTTTTGCAGTTAAGAGAATTAAAAAATTGTGAAGCTTCGTTAGAAACACATGTGTCTATATTTTTCCATATTATGTTAGTAGTCCATGCTCCCGTCAGTTATGGTATCATCCATACCTGACACTGTTCCATTGTGGAATATCCTGTTGAGTGTATATTCCTGTTGTCCATCTTCCTTCAATCAACATTAGAGTTCCCTACAATTTATTTCCAAGATTTCAATGTGGTATCAGAGCGCTGTTCTCTTTTCGTTTCACTAGTCTGTAGTACAGCTCTTTTTTCCTATTGACATGTATTCTTCTGACTCGTGGTCACAAGTACACAAATAGAGATAGCTAGGAACACCTCAGAGGGCAATATGGATCACACTAGTACCCCAGTCCAACTGGAACAAGCTGCATCTGGTTCCACACTGATCACCACTCATGTCACCAATCACACCATGATTCCCGAAGCTTATCACCTTGTTGGAATAGATAACTATGGTATATGGGCATTTAGAATATTGAACATCTTGAAGAGAGACTAATTATATCGTTAATGTATCACGCCCCCAAGCGACCACATGACTCCGGAGGAGACCAGAGGCTATAAACGCCCTCAACAGCTACTTAAAGAACGGAGTGGTAGTCAAGCTACTTCGGCGCTACGACGAGCCACAAGAGTACTGGACATCGTTGAAACAACATTATGAATCTGACAACTCAAGAAAGGTATCTCTTCTTGAAAACAAATTCAGCAATAGAGAAAATGCTAGCATGGACAAATATTTGACTGATACAAAAGAAGCAGCAGATTTATAAGAAGTAGATGAGCTGTTGCCTAAAGCTATTGTAATATACTTTACTTTACCGAACCTTCCAAAAGAGTATGATATATCTAAGCAGGTCATTAACAAAGAGAAAAAACTGTCCACTTATCTGGAACTATTAGAAAAGAAAACATAGAAAAAAACTTGAGAAACAACACAAAACGTGAAGGAGAAGCATTGAACACCTTTTACAACAATCCTTTGGATACCATTGTCATATTCAGTGAAGACTTGCTTTAAGGCAAATTGAAGGCAAATTGGGAATTGCAACAAAAAGATTATAACTCTAATAGAATCTTAAATAAATTATAATTAAACCTTAATAATTATAAATAAACTTTAATCAAATCTAAAAAAAAACCTTAAAGGAATATTAAAAAAAAAAACCCTAAAGAAGTAATAAAGAAACTCTAAATAAATAATTAAAAAATCCTTTAAATAAATAAAAATAGAATTTAAGTAAATTCTAATGTAGCCCTAAATAAACCCTAAATAAATCCTAAGTGAACCCTAACCAAACCTTATTCAAATTTTAATGAAACCTTATTGAAACCCTAAACGAGTTCAAATAAAATCCTAAACCTTAAACTAAATCCTACTAAAATTGTAAACCTTAAGCCAAATCCTATAATAAACTAAAATTATCTATTATCAAATTATTCAAGAAGTCTTAACTATTTTTATTAAGATATTAACAATACATACCATACATGCATATATTTTAATGATTTTATTATCTACTTTATAAGTCATCAAAGTTATATAAAGCAAGGTCTTTTAAACATATTAATGTGCATAAATTTAATATATTTGATTTAATTAATATAAATTATATACTTCTAAATTTTTTAAAGAGAATAATAAATTTATTTTTTATATTTGAAATATTTAAATAAAAAAATACCAAATACCAATTATTAATATCTTAAAGTATAATGAATTATATTAATAAGTTTTTTACAAAATATTTTTTAAGTTTTTTTAATTGATATGCTTTATTAAGTAGCACAAAGTTTTTATATATTAACCATGTTTTTAGTGTAATTTTGAATAAATATTTTATAAATACTATACCAAATTATATTACAACTATAAAGATATATTTACTACTTCCTTGAAGTTTGTTATCACTTAAAACTTATTTTAAAATTAAATAATTAAATTTTTTTTATTTAATATTTTAACATGTCTATTTTAAATATTATAATAATTCATAAAAATTAATGATACTATGAAAAAATACATAATATGTACATATTTATAAATTATTTATATACTCTATTTTGATTATTCAAGTAATTTTTAATCAAAAATCCAAAATACATTTATAATGTATATTGCAAACTTTGCTAATACTAATACTATTATAAATGTACAAAATTAAAGCATACTTAGTCTACCAACTTTTATATTCTTCATGCACTAGATATTTGGATTTAGATTTTTAATATGATACTTTTAAAAAATTAATGCTATAAATAAAATTATATTTATGTTTAATGTCTTATAATCTTATTTTATAATTTAATCATGATACTTCAAATACTACCATCAAAATTAGATTTAGACTTATTTCAGAACTCTCTTATAAGAGTTTATACTATGGTTTTTAAATATTTTTTTAAAAAATAATTCATCATTATGAGATTTTTTATTTGCTTTAAATATTTGATTTTCTTAGCTCTAATTTAAATATTAAGTTTGATACTTATGGTTTTAAGATGCAAAGCTAGTCAGAATATTTAAAGAAAAATAAAACTATTAATAGACTTGGCAATGCTTTAAAAGCAAATTATCAATGTACTTCTATTTTCTAAATATAATATAATTATACTGTGAAAAGAAGTAGCAAGACAACAACATTTTTCAATTTATTTTACTTTATCCAATTCATTATAATTTTTATTTTCAATAATTTTATTTTGATTTTATATAATTAAATATATTTATTGTTTGATATTTATATTTTTAGATATTTTCTTTGGATATATATATTAAAAATATCATATTAATAATTTAAATCATTGTTTTATTTTCATATTTTTTACTATATTTTTTTAAAGCTAGATTTTTTTTTATCTCATAGAAATTATATATATATATATATATATATATATATATATGTATATATATATACTAGCAAAAACCCTTACTGTTTGGCACCTGAATCTTTGGCAATATCTTTACATTTTATATAATATATATGAAGACATAATCAAAAGAAATTAAATTAAATTATATATATTTTTTTATATTTACATCAAATTAAATCATATTTTAAAACTAATTGTAAATTTTTTTATTTTATTTTTTGACTATATATAAAATTTTATCTTACAAATTAATCGTATTTGATAGTATTACTGTACCACTAATATGTATATAAAGAAATAATATGTTATGTCTTTGCCATTACAAAACTAATTTTAGGATGTTAATAACAAATAATTTATTTACTTCCAGAATCATTTTATTTTTTTTGTTTAATTTCCAAGTAACTTACAAACTAAAATCCCTTCAATCAATATATTAAAAATAAAATAAATTAAAATAATTGTTTTTAAAATAATCATAATACTACCTAATTAATAGGATATTTTTATTACAAATTAGTAGAATTACAAAAAATCTATTATTCTTTGATGTATTTATTGTAGGATTCAATATTTTTTGTCTTCTTATTTTTAATAAAGATTAAGAAAATTGTATACTTAAGATTTAAAAAAATATTATACACAATTTGGTATTGTTGTGAATGAAACAATTAAAAACCTTTCCATTATTTACTTCCTCTATTCCAATAATTTTTTAAAGATATTTTAGCTTTTATATCAAAAAAAACATATATATATATATATATATATATATATATATCACAATTATCTTTGGTAATACAAAATATTTTTGCAATATATCCAAATGACATATTTTTTGATATTTAAATTCTTCTTAGATATAAGCTAAGCATTCTCATGTCTTTAGATATATATATATATATATATATATATATAATTCTAGGAAAGTTTTAAAATAATGCAACAAATGTTAAAATCTTGTTACACCTTTTATTTATTTATTAATTAAGAGAGTGTTTTATGCAATTAAAATTGATTTATAAGAAAATTTTCAACAAATGGAGATAGTTAGAATGTAATTTTTTGCTACTACTATGTAATGAGTGACCTTGAAATCATTATGTGAAGTGGTGAAATCATCATGCATAACAAATGATGATATTTTTATTATAATTAAATGTTATTACATCACAAAGTAAAATGTTTATATTGTTGAACCATAGACTTTATTAGAATATCTTACCTAGTTCTGGATAATATCGTTGATAGTGGAAAAAGTACTGAGTCAATAGCCAAGACAATAAAGGCGTTGATTAAACATTAACTTTGAGTATTTGTAGCATGTTCAAGACTTTTAACACATCATAATTGACCAACTTCGGAAGTAAGAATTACACATACAAACAAACACTTCTATACCTTTGCAACAAAGGTTTCATGGTGCAACATTTTAGTCCCTTTCCATCGTAAGGTACAATATGTGGCCTGATTCTACTAATAATTCTGAAGATCATACAACGGTACAAGGTACTTCGAATATTTTGAGAAAGCTGTGGCTAAGGTAATGGTGTAGAGCGACTATTTGTCGGACCATGCCCACTGTTGAGAGGTTGCTAACAATCAATAGAACGGGAACTCGGTGCTGTCACGACATGCTTATCAATCAAAGCATTAACGAAACAACCTACGGTCAGTAAACAAGTGATCTATTTGCAAGCAAATTCATGCACCTGGAGATAGTAGTAACTACTAATGGAAAGAGGACAATCAAACTTGGATTTACAAGAATGATGTGTCGAAAGAAGAATGACTTTGATTAATTGAATTTAATAGACTAAATGAAGGCGCCTCAATTCTACTTGGAAAGTGCCACTTGCATTCAAAGTGCGTTGGGCTAGGTTTCGGATATCTTCTCGGGAGCACTCGCGGGAAATTCTAACAAGCTCCCATAAGGCTCCCCCTGCAACGAGGTCTTTGGCATTCACTTCTGCAAATTCAACAGAGTTTTAAATTACTAGGTAGCCAGAAACGGAACCAAATTCATAGATTAGGCATATAAGATTGCGGATGGTGATTTGTATTTTGGTCACCTCTTTTGTCGTTGGATTATAAGATTTGTGTTCTCCGCTTAAGAAATGTCAGAATTACAGAAAACTGTCACTAATTTGAAATCACTTACCACAATTTAACTACTGCTGATTTTGCTTATGCAGCGATCGAGAAACCCATAACCCGACTACAATGCATTGAAAGATAAGCTGCGAAGTAGGATAAAAAGAGAAGTTAGAAACATACCATGCTGTGCTAAGTGGCAAAGTGCTAGTTCAATGTGCCGACGAATGGGTGATGCTTCGTTGTTAGCATTGGCCACGATCCATGGTAAGGCTCCATCATCAATAAGCAGAGACCTCCCCATTTTATAACCTGCACAGTTTTGATAGAGAGTCGATCTAAGCTGACCAAAGAACAGTAGGCATGAGGTAAGTCAGTATCATAACATGAAGTAGGAAAGGGCAGGATTTGATACCTTGAGCAGCACCACGTGACTCACACTTTGCGAAGTTCGCAATTCCTCGTGCTACTTGAGCAAGCACGTCAGGATGACGTGACCGAACCATACCAAGGAGTGCACGAATACCACCTTCCTCCCTCAGTTTGACTTGAAGCTTGTCTGCATGATTTGTAGGATTAGAAACATGCCTTAGAATCACATATCCTTGACAACTTACACTATACATTCGCTTAATTTTCACAGAATTACCCAGGTCAAAAGGCATACGCAAAAACCTATTCAATAGTTATAACCCAATGACAATAGAGATAACCGAAATAAAACACAATGACAAAGCGCGACATTAAATCAAACGACGAGAGTTTTGCACACGCTTTTAGGTGAGTAGAAGCACCGTTCCCACATAAGTTGGCTATAGCTCCAGCAACCATTCGTAGTGTTTGTGGGTCTTCAGCATCGTCAGCTGTTCGAGCTAAAAGACCTATTCCTCCTTGTGACATAATTAACTCCTGGTTTGTCTCTGCAGACGCATCCATTAAAACCCTTAAACAATTGAAGAAATAACCCATAACGGTGATATGAGCCGTCAGAGGGCGCAATCTCTAAATTCGGCAAGAGCAATGGCAGGTGTAGATGTCACTCACCATTCATAGCAAGGTTGGCAACAGCTCCAGCAGCTACCCGCCTAATTGTCTCATCTTCTGAGCTTTGTAAGAGCATCAGCAAAGATCCCAAACCTCCAGCTTCTACGATTTTCTCCTGATTTGCTTCTGGATTACACTGAATTGTTAGTAAAGCAACGTGGAATTCAAAAAAACCAAATCTTGTAAGCAGCATGGTTCCAGTTCTGATCGAGCTTGTTAAGGCATGTCTACAAAAGTCCAATTCTGGTATACAGTGCCTTCTGAAATAGCACGAAAAGAAGCAGCATATTTCGTTGTATTCTCTAGTAACGATTAAAAGATCAGATGATTGTTTTGAAAATCAGACACTTTTATACTGTAGGAGTAATCCCACATTAAACCTTAATAATATTACGGTTGTGCACAACTTAACACAACCGAAGTTTTAGGTTGTAAAAGATCCTTCCAATAGGATGAATCCTAAAACCAAAAAAATTGCTCCAGAACAATTCTGAAGATCAAAAGTGATACCTCTGTACACGTAGCAAGGAGCTTTTATGAATTTTCACGAACTAAAAAGACGTGACAAACCTTCAGCTGCGAGATTGGCCACCACCTTCACAGCATGGACGCGAACATCAACGTCCTCAGATTCCAGCAAAGAGAGAATTTTGTGAAGACCAACTGTACACAACCAAACAGACAGGAATAATTCAGCCATAGTTTTTCTCATGTCTGCTCAATCTCATTCTGAGTGCCAATATTATGTAGTAGGTCTTCATGATCTAAGATAGTTTTAACTGTGGTTGAAACACGTGCATATGTTAACAATATGTTACATATACATAACACTCCAAGTTTCTAGATTGCTTTCAAGTTCACACGCAAATACAGACATCGATCTATTGCGTCTGACCTGAAAAGTCAAGCCAGTATTACCTTGTTCAAATAGCTTAGCAATGGTGGCTCTCTGGCCGTTGATGGTATCACGCATATGATTAGGTTTACTAAGACTAATAAGTGGACTTTCTGAACCAAGTGAGCTTCTGCCTGAACCACCATTCATCATTATTCTCCTTGAATGCTGCATCAGTTGACCACATGAAAAAGAGTAATTAGTTGAAATGAAATCCAGTAGTCTTCCGAAACCAAAAGAACTGAACATGCAATAGTGCAACCACGGCAATAAAGTTCAGTGAGAGGGACCAGGTGTGAAGGTATCAAAAAGCCAGCGATTCGTTATTGGACTACCTCATCATGCTCCTCGGAGAGGATCGAAACCTGTTCCTTCAGATGTCGAATTTCTTCCTCTAGTCTCTCCCTCTCCTTCAACTCCTCATCCAGTCTGTGCCTCACGGTTAGGAGTTCATCACCTTGCTGCCTCGTCAGACTTCCATTCACGCTTCTTTTCGATACCTGAGATTTCGCTACCATCAGCTCCTGTTCCAGCTGCTCACGCTTCTGACGTTCATTTTCCAGCAGCGTCCGAAGCTCCGAAATTTCAATTATCTGCTCCTCAGAATGTCCGAGTTTCTGGCGTTCACTTTCCAGCAGTGCCCGAAGCTCGGCAATCTCCTTGTCTTGACCATCGAACTGGTTGCGCTTCTGCTGTTCGTTTTCCAGCGAGGCGCGTAGCTTCATAATTTCTAAGCTTTGGTTATCAGACTGTTTGCTGTTTTGACGCTCAATTTCTAGTAATGTTCGAAGCTCCTCAATCTCCTTGCTTTGGTCATTGGACTGCTCCTGAGCAATACATGAACCAAAAATTATCAGCAAATATGCCCTAGTTTTAGAACCAACGTCGTGACTTCCATAAGGCTCTAGATCGGTCACTCTACAACCTATTCGATGCTAAACCTACATCAAAGTTTCAAACCATACTCGTCAAAATATAATGAAATTGTAACTTCCAGGTCGCCTCGAAATTCAGAAGTACATATTAATTCAGCTGCCCGAACTTAATCGTGAAGAAATAATGTTTAATCTATAAAACGTAACTTCTCACCACTATAAACAAAATCGCACAATCCAGACTCCTATAGCTAGACATTAAAGGTGTTAAAACTAAGTACCTCTGAATCTCGTTGGATTTGAGGCGTGGCAGCCTGGAGTTCCTTCTCCAAGCGCTCAAGCTGCAGACGCTGACAGCCAAGCTCGTCTTCCAAGCGCTCCCGATGAGTTCGCTCAATTTTCCGACTTTCCAGAGATTCTGCGAGTTCTTTTTTATACTTCTCGATTTCCTCCGCCAACTCCTTCTGTTGCGTTTCCATTTTCTTAGTTATCTCCTTCTGAATCTTCAACTCCTCTTCTTGCGTGCATTTCTAAACCAAATCCCAACAGAAAGCTCAAGAACTGTTTAATATGCGGATGAAAGTATATGCAACAAATATGATTCAACAATGCCTCGATTTTGATAACTAATTTATTTTCAGTCAAAATAAGTTATGAAATTTCTATTTGTGACCTCCGGACGTTGTCTCACTTGATCGCATAGAAAAACATAATTACGAAAAGAGTTCGATTAAAAAACACTGTCACTTGCCAAGAGTATCACATCAGAGTTCTTCCAAGAGAGACATGGAAGCGGAATGATATTTTCCGTTAAGTGATCTAAAAGCGGTGACAATTTATTGAAGTGAGGTCCTCGTTCATACGTCGACACCCAATCGTTAGACTAGGAACCACAAAAAGAGCGAGTGAGCATTAAGGTCCATCACATCCACCGACCTCTTGTTGCTCGTTCTGGCGTTCACGTGTAAGCAGTTGGATTTCCTCCTGCAACATATCCCGAACATGAACAACTTCCTCCAGTCTATGCCGAAGTTCCTCCACCTCCTCACACCCTTTCTCACACTTGAGTCGCATTTCCTCCACTTCTTGTTCATATGTACTTTTTTCTGCCATTATAGACTACATCCATCGAAACAGTTTCAATGAATTGCATCAGGGTTAAGAATCTTTGAAGAAATTGTGAAACATTGACTATTCAACCCACAGTTGCAAGTACAAAGCCTTCTCAGTAAAGATGGATTATTTCGACAAACCTCCAACGCAGTTTGGAGGCGGTTCTCTGCCTCCATCACAAGCTGACGACTTTCCTCCACAACCCGATCTAATTCTTCATCGTTTTCCTGCCGAGCCTTCACCTGCCTCTCGTTTTCTGCGACAAGTCTATCCAATTCAGCTTCCATTCTTCGGCAAAGACTTTTGTAGTCAAACTCCTCCTTTAATTTGACCATATTCTCGACCTTCATTGCCTGTCACAATTCGTCGGAATTCCATGTCATGATTTATTTAGAGGATGATTGAATTCCCCTATAGAAATGAACTGAAGAGATTACGCCAAAAATAAGATGGTTGTAAATGGATTGTAGCAATTTACTCGCTGGCCAAACATAATAGTACTAGTTGTTTCTCCTCTGTGCCTTGGTGAAGGTCCGATGGTCACAATCAATGATGTCCTAGCAGTTCCTGCAGATAGAGATATATGAATGGCCCAGGGAGATCATTGGCAATAGTATTCTTAAGACGAGACTTAAAAGAAAGGCCTTTCATGTTGTAGAAGTAGCGAAACATTCCAACTATGCTTTTAACTAAGTTAGAAACTGAAGTGGAAGAAGTCAAATAATTGAACCTTTGCGCACTTAACATGATAAGCAGACAGAATAATCTCACCACCAAAAGAATCACGCAACAGTCTTGTCAACTTAGAGTCCCGAATAGGTACATGAGGGCTGTTTTCTGCTAAAGCATTGATACATTTACCCAATGCTGTCAATGATAAATTGATGGACTTCGCTTCCTCCAATGTATGGCCCTCGCTTCCTATGTTCATGCCACAGATAGAAGCCAAGTTCAGTGGCCATCCTCTACTGCTGTGTTAAATTAGGCTCGAACTACAGAAAAAGGCGATAAATGTAAAAGTGGAATTGTGAAAGAGATCAACTTCGCACTCAGGGGAATGAACACATCATCCAATAACCAACCTGATTTATCAACACGCTCCGAACCAGCAAGATCTACAATAAGTAGTTTGCTTCTTCGAATCGTAGTTGCCCGCATTTTCCCATTCCCATTCTCAGTAGGCTCCTTACTTCTAACTGCTTTTTTCACTTGTACCTGCACAAGCAGAAAACGAAATCAAATATCTCTACTGCTAAATAAACAGTCATAAAATATCGAGTCGAGTACTAGATATGAAGATCATGGTGTGTGTGTGTGTGTGAGAGAGAGAGAGAGAGAGAGAGAGAGAGAAAGAGAGGCGGCTACGTTAACGGCTACGCTCATGATAAACAGAAAAAGTTCTCATTTCAGTTTTTAAATCAATCAATCGTGAAGGTGATAGGATGCCACACACCAACAGAAGCGCGTGACTTCGCGAGGACTCTGTATTAAGTTTTGTGTTCGCTGCAACCCGATTTGATTCACCGACATCAAGGAGGTTGACGAAGCTCTGGTGGTCAGTCAGCTGTATCTGAGTAGCTCCGGGAACCGATACATCTCCTGTCTTGGGGTCTTCTTGAATGTGACAATTGTCCCTTTCAGGTGCAAGCAGATCTTGTACTGATTCCATGTAGAGCTGCAGTCCGACTTAGCATTTACGTTTGGGTTCGATAAAAGGGCCGTTCAAGGGGGAAAAAACGTACAATTTCTAAACATTAAAAACAAATAATCGATTAAGAAACCTCAGAAAGTATCTTTACCTGCAAATAAGACACAGTAACAGTGTCATCGACGTGGTTAATACTGGATAAAATATCCTCCAATGCACGAACCATAATTCCTCGATCAGCTGTGTCTTCATCGCCTAGCTTTCCAAGAGTAAACGTCTTTCCTGTGCCCGTTTGACCATATGCCATGACGGTACCGTTGTACCCTTCAAGGACACTCTGAACGAGTTTCAAAGAAGAATCAGTATTGAGCTGCACATCTAAACCTGGTAAATACGAGTTAAAGATTTAGCACACACCAGTACCACAATCAAGCTACATTGAGTGGCCAAATCTTCTCTGAAAAAGAAGCACTCTCCGTATCCGCGTATTGAGGGAAGGCTGCTAAAATCAAAGTATGTCTAGCTGTATTAGATACACACCGATTCCGAAAAATGTAGAGAAATAACAATTTAGAGCAAAGGTCCCGCAAATGACCTCCACAACAGGCTTCGCAACAACTTCATACACACGTTTCTGAGATGCAGTTTCCGTAAGGATTTCATCAAATTGATAAGTCTCGCTCTCCCAGTTATTCTTGCGGAGCTTCAACCTTTTAAGCTGCACAAACAAAAAAAAAGAGGTTGTATTATCGGCACTACATGAAAAAATCAATAAATTTGTACACATTCACATAAAGGCGAGAATTTCTCATTAGATTAATCACAGTACCTCGGGTTGAAGCTCCACACAATCAGCAAAATCAAGATCAGCCTCCAATTCTTCTGCATTCCTTGGACGCAGCCGAACGGTTACTCGCACCCGATTAGCAACTGAAATACCACGATTGCTTAGTGAGTTTATCGTGCTACGTATACATCCCTACTTCAGCATCGTAACCGACCCGTACATGTTCTGTATTGTCCAGTGCCACTTTCAGTGGATTGCATCAGTTAAGAGTATTCTAATTTCGCTGACGCCTAGTTCTTACGTTGGTTCTGTGTAAATTCAGTACATTTCGTGTTGTAACAGCACAATAAAGCAAAGTGTACCTTCTCCACTAAAAAAATGTAAGTACTCAAAAAACCTAGTAAAATTGGACCCTAATGCAAGAAATGGTTAATGAGATGGCCGAGGATATCAGACTGCAGCGATTTAATGTCCTGGAAACGTCTAAGAGTTACATGTGGATCCTATTTGATAGATTCAGGCGATGAATTCCTTAACTAATCGTATACGAATGTATTATGTAGGCCATCGCTCTCTCTGACACACTTGGAAAGTGGTAAGAGACGTAGACACCTTGAAAGCCTCAAGAGCACAAAAAATCTCATAGTCCGAGATTCCTGTCAGATCTGGATTGGGAAGATCGAGATTTCTTCAGCACTGACGGAAGAAACGATAGGGAACCAAATAGATCCTAAATCGAAAAGCCTCGGACTCAATTTCTGAAATGTGAGCAGGTGTGAATAACTCTTCCAACAGAGGCTTCAGCAGCAGCACCTTACTCTATTCTCATTTACAAACTACTAAGCCAATATAGCTCACGGAAGATCTGAAAAGCAGAACAACGTCGGCCTTGAAAATCAGCTAGAGGTAATTCCGTATTCAATGAACTTATAAAAGAGAGCAGGACATTTGCCACTCCATTTTTCAGTAGCGGGATTCAAGCTAGTTATGAAGGTAGAAAGGAGCTTGCACTGTTTCTAGAGCCTGACATGAGAGGTGTCCATTTCACAATGAATGAGTAGGTAACGAATGCATACCACCGCCGTCATGTGATTGTCTGGTAGATCCATTACTCTGGCGCCGGGTGGATGTGGTGGAGGACGAGGTGACAGGGGAAGCAGACTTAGTACGCATGTGTGTGCCTTTAGAAGAATCAGGTTGGGAGGGCGAGGGAGTGGGTGAGAGAAGCGACCCTGCAACGTTCTTTCCAGAGTTCACAGACAGTGGGCGACTCTTGTGCGCCTGAGCAAATGCCATTCTTCGATCCAACCCACCTCACCGCATCCAGAGGAAACGGTCCCCACCCCAAATGCAGGGATAGGAAACTCGCACCCGCGGTTGTGATCCCGTACCTTTCCTCTTCACCTCACAAATCAAAAATGCCGTAACTCCTCTCCTACAAACTCAAACAGACGTGCCGTCCCCACTGCTAATCACCTAATAACCACACTTCGAATTTTCGAAATCCTATTGGTTCGAAGCAACCAGAAAACACAATGCCAAGCTCATTCCTTCCACAAGGTCCACGCTCGCAGGCGCACCAAGAACTCTCCCCGTCTTCATTTCATTTCACTAGTATCCGGTCCTTGGAACAATGTACCAATCCTACTAGCACAGAATCCGCCACTGTCATGATAAGTCAAACGCCTCTCACATCAAACATACCTCACCATACCTCACATCACACACGGTCAGAGCCAGCGGCATTACAGAATCTCGAAATCCAAAACCCTTGGCAAACACTGGCGACAGTGAATGGCCATCCAGCCTCGAAGAAAAAAGGGGCCAAAATACAAAAACTAAACAGCAACAGTCGCAGAAGTAGTGGCATAAGGAAAGAAATGAAGAGGGAAAGAAAGGAAAACCAAAAACAATACAAAGGAAGAAGACGAAGAAGAAAAAGAAGGAAATAAAAAATAGACAAAAAAACAAAAAGTGAGGGAAAATAAAATAGAATAAACTAGAGAAAACAAATGGTCAAAAAACAGGATCAGCAGATTCAGCGAGAGGGAGGCCGAGGAGCTAGAAAAAACAGGATCTGGAAGTAGAGTTATGGAGTAAGAGGAGGAGGAGGAGGAGGAGGAGAAAGGACGGGGGCGGGGAATGGGGATGGGGCCCTGAATTTGAGATCGGCACGGAGGATGGATGTAAGCGTTCATACATCCATGAGGAGGAGTGGAAGGAGGGGGCGGGACCATCGTCACCTCGGCTCCCTCCCTCCCTCCTGCGCTGTCCCACTGCCGTCCCTGTCTCACCCGCCGCGATCCGCCGGGCCACCCTCCTCGCCCTCCTCGCCCCCGCCCCTATTCAGGCGGATGAGCCGCATCTCACAAATGGGGTCCTACCACCGCTCCGTCGACCCTATCGCCCATGACCGTGCCAGTCCGCACTAGTCTGCGCGAGATCGCAACTTAAATCGAGCCTATGTGCGTTTGCCACGTGTATATTACTATACCTCTTGGCTTTTTACTTCTCCTATTATCGAAAAAGCGATCTTTTAGTGGCAAAGTCTCTTTTATTTGGATAAACTATTAGATTAATTTTTGCAAATTTTTGTAGATGGTTGCTAACAGCTTACATGTTTTTTTTTGTTTCAAAGTTTTACTCAAAAAATATTGTGATGGTGGATGTCAAATACATATATATAAATAAAGATGATCGTGTTAAGATGATTATCAACGAACTTCTTGCTGTTTAGAATTTGGACGTTGATACTAAAGAAATGGACAAAATTTAAGGAATACAATTGGAAATAAATTGTATGATACTACAAGCTGGATGAACCCTTTAACATGAACGTGAGTACAAAGGGTCGTTCGTCAATATGTACGATGATACTTAGAACACAAAGAAGTTTTAAAAGATAAACTATAATAAGTAATAAATCAATACTGGTGTATTGAAAAGCATCTAGTGTTGTTAATGACAAAGTAAAACACAATTTGCTGCTGTTCATCCTATCCATACAATTATACTTGGTTTCTTATTTTAGAGAAAGTATACGTACTTGAATGAATGCATACATATTGATGTTGGCAAAGATAGGTGTAGGGAACTACTTGTTAATAACATACACATAACAAATGTTTTTCATAGTTTGAAAGAATATATCACCTAAAAAGCTGTAAAATATATAAATACACATATTGAAATTTTATGAAATAACTTTAAAATAATCTGAAATTATGTATAAAATACAAATAAACTATTCATTATAGATTATAATTCAACGTTGTTTTTTTTAGTAATTAAGGCAACAGAATTTAAAATATCTGGTAAATATCTGATATTCATTCCATATTCCCTCATGTAAGTGTTTGTATGTTGTTTCCAAATACAGAGAGATAAATAGCAGATATTCGAAAAATAATCAAGATTTATTTTCAATCACACCATGCTCCAAATATTTGTAATTTTAATAAACGTGTCATTTCATATGGGTAATGTTTTTACTTTGTGTGATTAGATTTATCAATTTCATATTAATATTCTTTGGAATCTCATTTCATACATTCAGTGCATAAATCCACTTCCTAAATTTGAATATATATATATATATATATATATATATAAACAAAAGTTGAAATATATAATGTGTTGTACTAAAACGATTCCAGGACGTGATGACTTGTCATTTATCTCATTTATCAAACTCACAAATTTAATCCTTCCTGAGGATTTTGTTTACATTAAAAAGAATTATCAACATCAGTTGCTTGATAGCTGAAAATCACTCATTACTGTTAATTGTTTTTCATTGTTGAGATAGAAGTTGCAATGATTTGACTATTTAATTATCAATATTTCGTTAGGCATGATGTCAAATAATGAACCCAAAAGACCTCACATAAAATAATAAAAAATATGTGGAGAAGTTTTAAATGTTTTTCTTGAATGTACACATCTATAAATGGAAATAAAATTATTCTATCTTGGGTTAAAGGATGCGGTTTACAAACCTTGGTATTCTTGTGAATTAATGCTATTGCCCACTTTATTTTGTTATTGTTATGCGATGCTAATTCACGTGCAAGTTAGGGCCATTATTATGGGTTGTAACCACGTTCACATGCGGTGATAGGGCAGTGGTCCCAATCCCGCGGGTTCCAAGAGGAGAAGCTGTGGGCCCAGACAGTGTGAACAGAGCAGTGGAATTTTGTACACGTGGGAATGTTTGAGTAAAATTAAAGTTTGCCTGGCATTAATACTAATGCAAAAAGTTTCATAACATCCAACACCAATTATTGGAACCCACAATTGGATAAGAAGAATAATTTTACTTGGCATTACTCATGCGATTGTCAGATTAATCAAAAACTTAATGGTGGTTTCTATGAGACTGTGTGTGTACGTGTATTTATAAATTTGAACGGAAATGTAAAACAAAACATGTGTTGGTGCAATGTATTTTGTGAAAATTGTACAGTAAATGATTTTCACTTGATTCTTCTGAGGAGCATGCATAACATGTTTCAAGTAAACCCATGAATTTAAAGATCCACAACTTGTCTTGTGAAGGGTTGTGAAGATGAGGTTGTGATGCAGTTGAACAAGTGGGTTGGTTTTGGAAAGTGTCATATACTGTATTTATACACAATCAACTCAATCAGTGTGAATGAAACATATTACTCCGTATCATTTTAGATGGAATTGTGTAAAATCATGTAGTTCTCAATATATGAGATTAAGAAAGCATTGGCAACTTTTAGAGGCAACAAACCCAATGGGTTTTGGTGTCATTTCACAATCTTTGTTGCTGCATTCAATTCCACAAATGTTTACACAAAGCCAAGCAAATAATGTCTTAAAAATGGCTACCTATTCTAGAGGGCCAGTTTCACAGCTTAAGTTCAAGGAATAGGCATATATGAAAAGGCTGGCAAAGGCTCATTAAGGCGCAGCTGGAGCTTTCTAATTCTATGATACCAATTCCAAGTTGTTGATTAGGGTTTTGGAGCCAATGTGAGCTCACGAAATTGCATGTTTTAGGGTTTCATTGAAAAAACAGAAGTGTTAATGGCAAAGCCCCAACATTAATCTCGCTTAACTGTTGTCATCTATCTGTTTCCATCCCCATGTACAAATCCTTTTTAAAAAATACATCTGGGAAGGATAATTCACATAGCCAAATTGACATCTCCTTTCTCATTTGTGAGAAAAATAAAACAAAAACCCTGTTTATGTAGATCAAGATTTGATGTGTTGTTTTATTATTGTTTTGAATTGTTAGTTTTGTGAAAGTTACTCAGGGACAGAATATGACATCAGAACACAATAGCTAATAGGTGCAGGAAAAAAAATATAAATAAAGTAAAAATAGTAATTGAACATGTTGCAATAAACAAACATACAAAACCAGATGTCAAAAAATGTTAAATTTTCAACACGATTTAAGTATGTTTTCCTTTTAGAAAATGATTCTTTTTGTTAATTAACTTGGAATTCAAGATGATTGACAAACTACAATTATAACTTCAAATTATAACTCAAAGTAAAATATTCATGAAAAATGCTTCTTACTTGTCTTATTATTTGTTAACATAGGTGTTTGGTAAGTTACATGTTAATTTATTCACTTGAGAATTCTCATTATTATTGCAAAAATGTACTACATACATAATTTTTATAATTAACTTTCAAACTATTCATATTTTTTTTAAAAAAATAATTGTGCTTTAATCCAGTTGTACACTAATTCAAATAAAAAATTAAAAACATTATATGCATTCTTAAATTAATCCAAAAAACACAAAATTTTATAATTCTTTTCCAACAATCACAAATTTGATAAAAGTGTTTATTTATGTATGTAAGATTAAAAATCAGAAGTTTGAAATTTTATATGGAGTTAAAATTTAAAATATCTCATTTTCTTAGTTATTAACTTGTAGCAAGAATAAAATCTAAAAAATCCTTATTTTAATATTAATTTTAAAACTAAAATTTAAAGTACTTTTTTTGAATAGTATATATTTTTTCATAAATATATTTTAAATAATAAAATTCATAAGGATTTTATTAAGATTAAATTTTAAGTAAGTATAATGACAACTTATTAAGATTAAATTTTAAGTAAGTATAATTAATTTTAGGTTATTTGATCATCAATTATTTTACTTTGCTACTTATTAAAAGACTTTTACTTCTAGCATCTTTATCAACTTGAGGTGTTGTCATAGACATACATGTGTAAACTAATAATTACATATATGATTTAGATAAAAGTAGGTAAAAGTATGTTAATTCTATAATATCTTCTATACAAGCTTCTTAGAAGCTTCATAGATGTTGCTTTGACTTTATAGATGTCTTTAAATGACTTTTTTAGGTTCAAAACATGGTCAATAAGTTGAGCATGTGCCACATATGTTGGTAGCTTGAAGAACAAGCTAACTATGTGGCTCACACATAAAAAACTTACCTTGTAAGCTAAGGCATGTGTCCCACAAAGTCAACACATATTAGAGGTCATATAGAACATCGTCATGTAGCTCTTAGTTAGATAATATATATAGAGGTAAGACTGAAGCCCTCTTCATTTTTATCAACTCTTTTCTTGCTTCTAGTGTAGATTTAAGAGTCTTTAGTTTCCTTGTCTTTTGGCGATAGCCATTTCAGTTTCTTTTTAATATACATACTACTTTATTGCTATTTCGTCACTTTTTTTTAACATAGTTTTTCCAAGTTTATGGATCTTCTTTCAATTCATGTCTTTAACAAATTAACAAGAATATACTTACAATATTAGAGCTTTTTCTTTTCTTGATTAAGAGTGGATTATCCTTTTTTCTTGATAAAACATAAGCATATTAGAAGTTGTGAATTACCCTCTTCTAAACTAATATTATTTTTAATATCTTCTTTATTCTCAAGTCTCATTTCCTACTAATCTTGAGCAATATTAGACATTTATTTTTTAAGTACTAACATGGTAGAGCTTGTTGAAATGAACAATGCAATGACACAAATGCAAGAGCAATTGAAGAAATTAATGCTTGCGATACATCAATTTAGTTTTTCTTTACAAAGAGCAACAAGAATAGCATGAAGTGATGA